CCGCCCCGTTGCCATCCCTATAAATGAGCTCTAGATAAAACATTTTATACCTGTAACATATTTACGATTGCCATAATACACTTGGTACTTTCTAATGGTAACTTTTGATTGGAATTTCATGCAAGTATTCGTGCGAATATTTATTATAAGCAGTCATTACAAGTACAACTGGGATATTGGAAGGAGATAGAAATCTGTAAATTGTGTCTGTTGTGCCTGTATGAATATGCATGAAGTAAATTAAATATGCTTATGATCCATAAAGTACCTTCACTTTTTCCAGTAATTGCTTTATTTTTCTCTTCTTCCCCTCTTCGTCCTTGTTACAATAGAATAAAACTTTCCAGCTTATTTTTGATAATTTCCTAGTTTCAAGAGCTTTATAGCTCATTGTCATTGCAGTTCATTCAACGTCTTCTTCTGCCTGATATTAGTTTATATACTTGATTAGTAATTTCCCTTCTTGTTTGATAAATTAACTGTGTAGCATAACCTGGACATTTCTGATCAACATGTAATCTGTGTACTTGCATCATTCAAAATCAATTTTCCGTCGTTTGATTTATTCTTTTTGATTCTTGTATTCATACTAATAACATATTGACAGGTGGAGCTTGAACTAAAGGCTCAACTCTTGCACGTGGACATAACAAAGCATGTACATACTTCTACTTTCATTTTTTTTAATTTAGGATGAGATAAAGTATCAAATTGAGCTCCCACCCCTGTTTCAACTTTTCAGTTCATTAAAACATGTCTGTTTGAGATCTCACCTTTTTCATAACACGCTGAATTATTGGAATGTGTACACGGGAAGAAACATGAATTTGTGTTATGCGCTGCTAATATGTACTTTTGAAATTACAATAATCCGAACTGGAGTCTTCTAGAAGAGATTAATTTTTATATCTTGAACCAATAAATCAATGTATGATATGTTTACAAATCAAATAGCATTGGTTTGTTGAATTAGATCCTTGAGGAGAAAGAAAGCTTATCAAGTATATCAAAACTGATCATTCAGAAAACCTATATAAGATTTTTACATTATTTCTACTATTTCCTAGCAATAAGATCTTGTTTTTCGTCTAACCCTAACCAAAAATTTAAAAATCCTATTACATTCAAAGAAACAACTTAGAATTGTTTGTCAAAATCTGTAAACAGTCCATGCACATTCAGATTCTTACAAGATAAGCAATCAGATGAAAATTATCATTATCATAAGAAAATTGAACTCTCATAGAATGCTAGAATCCAGCTTGTCGATTTTTACCTGCCAATGGTAATAAATGTTGATATTCGAACATCTTGATCTATCATCTTAGTAATATCATGAAAAAGATATCAGTAAAGTGAATACTTTAATTTTATTTCTAACAAAATGAGCGAGACAAATATATTAAGAAGTCTATTTAGAGTGTGTTTGGTAGGGATTTTAGGG